GGGCATGCTCTTGGGAGCCACATGCTTGGAATGGTAGACTCACCCCTACTGGGTCTGGATAGTTACAGGAGAGAAGGAAATTATTTTGTGTGAGTTACTATACTTTAGGATTTCTTTGTGACAGTAGCCTAGACTGTAGTACTTTACTAAAGGGTGGAAGCTTTACCACCCTTAAGATGTTTCTCCTCCTGTACTCGTTCATGCCCATGGGTGGCATCCCCGGCAACCCCAAGCCAGAAGCCTGGGGGCAACTTTAACATTCCCTCCCCTCCCACCTCCACATCCAACCAAGCTCGTGCCTTGTCCTCCCTCCCTGCTCGTCTGTCCACTTCCCGCATCCCCGCTGCCCTAGGCGAGCTCGGGATCTCATGTCCCGCTTCTCTCTGCAAGTCTCCCCACGTCTAACCCACTCGCCACACCGAGGCCCAACTGCCATTCCTGAAATGCACACCTGATTGTGCGGCCCTGGCTCTGACCCTTGGCCACTTCAGGAGCACAGGGACTCGTTCCAGATGAGGCCGCTCTCCTCCATTCCCCCTGAAGCAGTAAAGTCTCCCACCACACTGAAATATTTAGGAATTTCAGAAAACATGTCCTCCCTTGATTCTTGGTCCTTGCGTATGCTGTTCCCTCTGCAAACGGCCCTTCCTCATCCCGCTCTCCCCTAGTGACTTCTACTGATCCTTCCGGACTTGCTTCGCTATCACTTCCTTTAGAGGCTCCATCTTGCTCTTACTATGGTCATAGTGCCCTTCAGAACCACATCACATGACCTGAGGATCTATTTGGTCAACTGTCTCCTCCACTGATAACAAACTCCCCCTTCAATCTTTTTGAAAGACTCTATTACATCGTAGGTACTCGAAACATTTGTCAACAATTTGACCTGGAGGATTATATTGTTTCTTCCCTATTATTGTTCCCTCCCCTCTCTTGTATGTTCCTTGTGGGTGGAGTACACTAACCACCCCATAGACCAGGGGTGGGCAAACTTTTTGACTCGAGGGCCACAATGGGCTCTTAAACTGGACCGGAGGGCCGGAACAAAAGCATGGGTGGAGTGTTTGTGTGAACTAATATAAATTCAAAGTAAACATCATTACATAAAAGGGTACGGTCTTTTTTTTCAATAGTTTTATTCATTTCAAACGGGCCGGATCCGGCCCGCGGGCCGTAGTTTGCCCACGGCTGCCATAGACTGTGGGCTTGACCCTGTGACTTGCTTTGGCCAATCAAATGTGAGCTCATGTGCCAGGAGTCATGTCCAAGCAGAAGTTGGAAAGGCATTTGCATGGTGTGGTTCCGCCCCTTTCCCAGGGCCCCTTGAGCCCTCCTCAGTGAGAGAACAGCATGCGCAGTAACGGCTGCTCCCTCGTCCTGGGTCTTGGAGTAGGAAGACATTGAGAACTGAGCCCAGTCCACCAATTCCAGCCAACTCCCGGCTGACCGGCAGCCACACCGCCCTAAACGTTGGCTGCTCTGAGCTGTTCTGATTTAGGAGATGCTTGTTGCTGCATCAAAGTGCTGAATAACGTGCCTGTTTGGTGTTCTTAAGGAGTGTGAGGGCCTACTATGTGCGAAAGGTGATGCTGGGAGTTGCACACAATTTCAATGATCACAACAACCCTCTCACTTTAAAGCCAAAGAAATGAAGGTAAAATATTAAGCTAGTAGTCAAAGGTCAGTTGGAGCCTAATCCCTGTCTCCCACTGCCTCTCAGGCCGCCTCCAGATGAGCCATGCGCATGGAGGGGGAGGGCAGGACCCCAAGCTGAATGGGCAACGGCCCTGCGGGGCCCTGATGCCATGGACAACATGGAGGCTGGAGGCGCCCTGTTCTGGGGCCCTCCTTGTCACCTGGCCCATAGAGAACCCTAGCCATCCAAAATGTCTTCTTTCCTTTTCAAAGAGCCAACATTATCTTGAAGACTAAGAGGCCACAGCTACACCCTGTGGGCCTCCTGGGCACACAGCGCCAGCCCGTCCGCAGGGGCTCTGACACCCAGCAGGTCACCCCTGCTCTCCCGTGCCGCGTCCACTCCTTTTCTGTACCGCTCAGGATTTCACGTGAAATGCTAAATGCTTTCCTTTCTCCCTGCCCTGGCAGTGTTCCCTGGGTTCTCTGGACTCTGAGCCTCACTCCCCAAGGCCCCATAAGAGACACCAGGTGTGTCTGCGAAAGACGGCTTCCTTTGCATCCTGGCACTTGAAACAAGCCACATTAAGCCAGTGGCACAGTTTCACATTCTTTTCATCAATGAGAGACCATGGCCTCAGGTGAGTCACCTCTGAGCCTTGGTTTTCTCAAGCACTGGAGGTGACACCCGCCGTGCCCTCTTAGAGGGACCAGAGGGGTAATGACCCTGAGAGCCAGTTAACAGAGAAGCACCAGGGCACATAAATGCGCCAGAGCCGCCGCCACACCGTACCCTCCTTTATAGTCCGGACTCAGGACGAAAAGGCCAAAGAGCGAACGTAGTCGGGAGGATGAAGAGGCGAGTCCAGAAGAAAACGTTAGACTATTAGGGGCGGCCTAGGGCCGTGCTGGCTAGAGTCCTGCCTGGGCCACAGCTTGCCCGCTCACTCTCCCAGTCCTGAACACGAACACGTTCCATCGTTCCGACTGACCCTGCTCCGTCCGCCAAGCACTGGGTGCCACCCCGTTTGTCCCTCTGAGGGACCTAACGAGCTCTCCCTTCCCAGCTGGCATCTCTCCTGCCAGTCATTCACGCCAGGGCAAGGCTGCGGGCACTGGCTCCTCATGGGGGAGTCATCAGGAAGACTGGACCTGTGGCTCTGATTTCTAACTCCCCCAAATTGGAGAAAAGTTCAGAACCAGACTTTTAGAGCGGAAAGGGACCTTAGAAACCATCTCATTCAACAGATTCTAAGACCCAGATCCCATGGCTGGACAGTTCGTCTGTGGAGGGGATGAGGGCAGAGCATCAGCTCCCAGCCAGGGTCCCTTCCACTAAGCAAGTCCTGGCACTGACACTGTGAACACTGGACGGGCATGAAGGACCTGCACCAGGACGCTCACCGCCCTGCAGTAAACCCAGGGCTGATGCCCAGGTCTGGGTGCACTGGCCAGCCTGCAGCCATGTGAGTCTATAACAGGGGTCCTCAAACTTTTTAAACGGGGGGCCAGTTCACTGTCCCTCAGACCGTTGGAGGGCCGGACTATAGTTTAAAAAAAAAACTATGGACAAATTCCTATGCACACTGCACATACCTTATTTTGAAGTAAAAAAACAAAACGGAACAAATACAATATTTGTATTTGCATGTGGCCCGCGGGCCGTAGTTTGAGGACCCCTGGTCTAGAACCTGAGGAGTGATGGGGAAGGAAGGAAGTCCCTCTCCTGGTCCAGAGAGAAGCATCAGCTGGGGGAGGGAGGAGGAGGGGAGAGCTGTGAGGAGAGTGGAAAGAAGGTGCTCTGGGGTGAATACGGTGTCTCCCAGGGGACAGGAGACCAGAGGAGGGAGAGAAACGGAAAGGCATGCAGGACAGGGAAGCAAAACAGGGAAGCAGCTCATGGAAGGGAGGGGTCAGCAGTCTCTGAAAGCGGCCCTTCCTTCTCCAAGGCGCATACACTTGACCTCTCCACACCCAGGCCTGTCCTCCCACGGTCACCAGGCATCCACCTAATGCCAACCAGACAAGGAGCCCGGAGACCGCCTTTCCGGGTCGGGCTGAGTCAGGAGCCCGGGAAGCCCAGACCCCTGGTGCAGGCCCCATTGCTTCTGCTCATCTCATCGCTGTGTGTCCGCTTCCAGGCTGAGCGCCCCCTGAAGGCAGGGACTGTGCCTCTTCGCCTGCTAACCCTACACATGCCTGGACAATGGCAGAACTCAGCAGCTGACTGTGGGCATAAATGTCTCACCTGGGCCATCACCTCCTCTGCGGCCATCTCAGAGCTGCTCCGCCCACCCCCAGGTTCGGGCTGGACATGCCTCCCCAAGCTCCGTCACACGTGTGCTCTCTCCATATCAAAATGACCCGAAGACTCATTTGAGTCACTGTGTAGACTGACAACTCTTTGAGAGCAAGGACTGTCTTTTGTTGTTGTTAATTCTCACCTGAGGATATTTTTTCCCCATTGCTTTTCAGAGAGAGTGGACGGGAGGGAGGGAGGGAGAGATATGAGAGAGACACATCGACTGGTTGCCTCCTGCACGTGCCCTGACCAAGGCCTGGAAGCGAACCTAAAACCCAGGTACGTGCCCTTGACCTGGAATCAAACTCTCCACTCCCTGGTGTGCGGGCCGACGCTCTAACCACTGAACACACCAGCCAGGGGCGCAAGGACTATCTTTACCTCTTTATTCTCAGCACCTATCACAATACTTAGACACCCAGGAGTTTAACACACGCTTATAGAATGAATGAACAAATGAATGAACCAAACCAAAGAGGAACCAAAAGAAACGCTACTAGAGCAAGCAGTCTTCATCAGGGAAACCCCATCTCCAGAGTGTCCCCCCTTCCCCCATTTCCCCCTCCCCACAGGCTGCGGGAGAGGACCCCAGGCCACGCCATCCACATCCACGTTTGGGAACAAAGAGCGAAGCCTCCAGCCTTCCTGCTCCGGGGCACCTGTTGCTGCACGGGCAGCCACAGCCCTGAGCATTTTGTTTTGTTTGAAACAAGAACAACAGAACACAATCTACAGGAAGCGACATTCCAGCGACAATAAGAAACCACCAGGCTGATCTACAGCTGTGCGAATCCAGAAAGAAAGACAGCAAGGAGCTGCTGGAGCCCCAGCAGAACAGTGCAGTGCTGATTAGAAATTGCTCAGCCGGCGTTACAAGACAGAACCGGGGGAGGGGAGGGGAAAGGGAAAAGAGGGGGAGGGCGGAGGGTGGGGGAGAGGACAGTGCAGTGTTTTCTCCTGGGCTCTGACTCATTTCTAATCTGTCCTTTCCTCCCTCCCTCCCTCCCTCCCACCACCCCCTCAAGAGAGAATTCATTGATTGGGCCGGACTGCACTGTCTTACCTTTCCTCCCCTGGCTTCCCCGTGAAGGATGAGTCTGGATCCACGTCCAGTCACTGCTCTTCTCCCCTCCCTCCCCCTCTGCCATTGTCGCCTCCACCTTGCTCGGGGTGAGAGCAGCTTGTCAGGCACTGGGGGGCGAGGCAGGAGCAGAGGCTGGGATCAGGGGGTGCTACAGGTGCTCAGGGGACCCAGGGCGCCAGCTGCACCTGCAGGGCAGCGGCCCAGCTCTGACAGCAAGGGCCCTGCTCACTAACCTGTTGCCTGCTTCCGGGCAAGGGCGGCCTCTCTGGGTGCAGAAGGAAGAAGGCACGGGCAAAGCAGCCCACCGTTCCCAGCACAAACAAAACCAAACCCTACAATGAAAACTCAGAGGCCGCTTAGGAGAGAGCCACCCACGGGGGCTGGTTTGAGAGCACTGGGCTCTAGTCTCTGCTCCATCACACATTTGCTGGTGCTTGTCCTGTGGGCCTCCTTTCTGTCAAAGCTGCTGCCTGGGTCCCTGGCTGCCTGGGTCCTTGCCAGCGACCTGATTCCACTGCCGCAGAAGCCCTGGTGAGCCACCGGCCAGGGCTGTTTCCCTGCTCCCCTCCCTGCAAGGCCCTGGGGCACTCTGACTCAGGGACCCTCCCAGGTGCCAGCTGACTTCAGGGAGGGTGCGATGCAGGCTCAGGGCCAAAGTTCCCGGGACAAGATAACAGAGAAGAAGAGGCAAATTGAGGACACTGAGGATCAGCGAGGGGGAGGTGGCAGGCCCTGGCAGGCCAGGGGAGGGGGAGGCATGGATCAGCCAAACCCTGAAATTACAGATGATTCACATTTGAATAGTGTGGGAGGGAGACCCGCAGAGCGGGCAGGGGAGGCTAACTCAGCGCAGAGCCCCCACGGGGGACCGCGGGCTCAGGAGCCAGGTAGGGCCCTTCCCTGGGAACAGGCAACGCCTAGGAGTCAGGACTCTCACTCTGAAGCGGAGGGGAGCTGGGGTTGCCTTTCCTGAGTGTATGTCACCCTCTCGCTGGGGTGAGTTAAATGTGCTTCCCTTTCCCACCGACTTGATTCTCCCAAGCCTTCTGGAGCAGACAAGACTTCATTTTGGGGTGCTACTTTGCGTTTTCTCTCCTGCCTTTCACGGCCCATCCTATCCTCACAACCTTTCTGATCCCTGTTCCTCTCCTCCATCACTCGTTCTCCACGGTCATTGCCTCAGAGCTGTCCAAACCCCCCAACCTTGCGAGCACCCTGCCCCAAGCAGGGCTACTGTGTGACTCTGGGCTGGCCACCCTGCCTGGCCACGTGTCTCTCAAACACACAGAGTCATGGGGGGGGGGGTGGTAAAGTGTCAGAAACAAAAGCCTTTGCAGCCCCCAGGAGGGTGGGAGAAGTTCACAAAAAGGAAGGGAAGCCTGGAGGGCCCACCTGGAGGAAGTGGCACGCTGGGAGAAGCCCTACCTTCTGAGCATCTCTGCCGATTATCTTTACTGGGGGGACAGGGCCTGTTTAGGGGGGTGGGGGGGAGGAAGGGCCCTCTCTCACGGCGGAACCACTCCCAAGAGGTACAAGTAAGAGACAGCAGGGCCCTAAATCCCACAACCAATGGAACCTCCACCCACCTGCCTCCTCACCCCCTGCCTGAGAATGCCCCTGGGTCCCCGCGTCTCCAGGGAAGGAATTAAGGAGACGCTCCTCCACCCCCGCCCCCACCCCCAGCGCCAGTTTCCCTAATTAACCAGTCTCCTCGGAGCTTCCCTTAGTCCCGCCAGGCTCTCCCCAGGACTGCACTCGGGGGACCACAGAGGCAGAACCGGGGGATGCCGGTTCGAAAGAACCACCTCCAGTCACTAGTGGGCCAGACACCTGCCTCTCCAGCGGCTCACTTGCACTCGGAGGACCCCCACCCCCTCCCCCCAAAACGCAGCCCCTCCCCCACGTACCCAGCCGCTCACAGCTTCAGCACAGCCGGGGCGTGGGGTGGCGGGTGGGTGCACCCCCACGGCGAGAATATATAGAAAGTTCCCCGCGGCGGTGGCGCATGCCGCTTACCTGTCAGCCCGAAGAGCGCCATCCACGCCAGCGAGACCCGGTCCATCTCCCCCAACTTCCCATCCAGGGACGAGTGCGCGAGCCCAGTGGGGAGCGGCGCGGGCGCGGGATCGGTGTGCGCGACCGGAGGCAGAGGCGGCGGCGGGCGCGAGCGGGTGTCCGCGTCCCCGGGCGCCTCCCCGGCGGACAGCGCGGACGGCCCAGGCGCGCTGCCGCTCGGCTCCGGCTCCGCTCCGGCTCCGCTCCCGCTCCCGCTCCGCTCCCGCACGCCAGGCTCCCGGCGGCGTTCCCGCCCCGCAGCGCCGCCCGCTGCCCGCCCCGCGGCCTCCAAAGTTTCTGGGTCACGTGCTGGCCCCGCGGGCAGCACCCAGCGGCCAAGTGCACCAGGGGCGCCGGGGGCGGGCGCGCGGGCTGTTCGGAGCCAGAACCGGACCCGCGGTTGGGGACGCGAGCAGGGTCGGCTGTGCGCGCGCGTGGGGGACGGAGCGGCCAGGTCGGGACCCGCCGCGACTCGGGGCAGCTCATCAGCAAGTCCCCTGGGCAAGGGGTTGCTTGCGCTGGGCCCCACCCCTCCGTCTGGGTCGCTTTCTGACGCGCAAGGAACCAAGATGCTCCGCAGAATTGGAAAAGGTGGACGGGAATCCCGCGCCCTAACTTCCTCCTGTTCAAACATTACTAAGGGCACGCAGCTCTTCAACAGGAATTGCCAAACGAGAATGAAATAAACAATATGTCGGCTTTCATTTGTCCAACATTTACCGCTTCTCAGCCTCTCGGCTAAGATCAGGCGCACTTGCCCAACACTTCACAGTATGCAGGACACATTCACAGGCTTATTTCCATGCTGTAAACAGATCTGTGTCTTGTGTGTGTGTGTGTGTGTGTGTGTGTGTGTGTGTAAGGAGCCTGTGTGTTGAGAGACAAGGCAGAAAGGTATGTTCCCAAAGATAATTAAGCGCCTACTAGGTGCTAAGAACCTGGGCTACGAGGATGTGAGACAGACTTCCTGCGGTCCAGGGCCCACCTTGGTCCTTTAAACGCATCACTCATTGTAGGAAAACAGGGCAGATGCGATCCTGGAGATACGGAGAAAGTGCCCTGGGAACTTCAGAAGGACTGTGTGTGAATGGGGATGAGATCTGAGCATCAGAAGAGGTGAGAATCCGCTCTGCACAGTGGTCTTGTTTGGCTGCCTGACCTCTGAATGCCCTGAGTTTTGAGGAATGCCAACTATGGAAGCCAAAACAGCTAGAGCCATCCCCGACCCCCAGCCGGAGGACAGCCGGCCCCTGATGGCCTGGGCTGCTCTCTCTGAGCTGTTTGAGCTCCAGAGCAAGTGATGCAAGAAGCCGAGCCAACAGAGAATTGGTTTTGCCTCGCGGTAGTGCATCCAGGGCTTAGGGCAGCGGTGGGAGGTCAGGCACCAGGCTGCCCGGAGGTGGGAGGTGCAGACTGCCATGGTCTTGGGTGAGCTTGTCGGTTCCAGCCCACTCTCTGCAACTGGCTCCTCAGCCTCCTGGCAACTCTGCGAGCTCCCCACCGCCTCGCATCAATCCCCTCTCCGCTGCTTTTGGCAATTGAGAGCCTGACTAATATGCCCTGTGAGAGACATTTGGAGCCCTATTTCCTTTCAGATACGAAGAGATAAAATAAAATAGAACATAGAACCAAAAGAGTTACCTAACACTCATGGGTTTCCTGTCGGGTTCTCGGCACAGTCCTAGATGCTTCACCAGTGTTCATGTTTCATCCCAATAAGGAAACTCAGGCCCAGGGACGGAACTAACCATCCTAAGGTCAGGTAACTAGGAAGGCGCAGAGGTAGGATTTGAACTGAGGTCTCTAAATGCTGAAGCATATGCCCTTTGCATCATAAAAGGCACCTCTAGACCAGAGGTTGATATGGTGATGTATTGGTGTTGTGCCCTGCCATCTCCTGTATGTGTGTGTGTGTGTGCGCGCGCGCCTGCATACGTGCATGGGCACGTGTACACGATGCACAAAAGTCTTTAGTATCTAAGCAGTGATACTTTATGCAAAACTGGGCATAAGAGCCGAGAAATGGGGGACTGGCTGTGCAGGGAAGTGGGCAGTGATGCCCACAGGAGAAGGGAGCTGTGACATCGTGCTGGGGGTGTGCCTGTGTGTAAGTCAACAAGGACTCGGAGCTGGGGAAGAGCTGTGCCAGAGGGAGTCACAAACCAGGGCCTGCCCACCATCAGCTTTGTTTCCTGCAGCGCACCCTGTCTTCTAGCGAGGAGGTGCAGTGGGCGGTCCCCAAGGAGCGGCTGCACCGACTGAGTCTCCGTGGAGCCCCTCTCAGTGCACATGCTGCCGCCAAGGCGGGGAGGGCTAAGGGGAGCGTGCAGAGTCCATCTGATGACCCGGGACGTGGAGCCTAAGCGATGGCGACCCGAGGGGAGACAGGGCGTTCTTTTGCTGCACTGGTGGTGATGGCTGGGTGACACCGGAATCGGGGTGCTCTTCCAAGTGTGGTTTCTGAACTTGCAGCATCAGCATCACACCAGTGGCTGCCCAAAAGGCAGATCCCCAGGCTCTGCTGGGAACGATGAGATCAGAGCTCTGGGTGTGCCCTGGAGAGTGCATTTTAACTGCCTTCCTCAAGTGCTTCTGAAACACACGGGACATAGGGCCACCCAAGCAGAGGTTCATCTTCATGGCCCGGGAGGGTCTGGATCCCCAGGCCTTCAGACTTCGTGCTACAACCAGGGACAGGTCAGGGCACAGGCCTGTGTGGGACCAGAGCAGACCCAGGAAGCCCCAGTGTGACCCATAGGTGCGCGGACTCACAGGCCTTGCCATCAGAGCAGCATTTTAGAACAGAATTAGGACGTGGAGAAAAGAGAAGTGAGACCTGCTGGCTGCCGGTAGCAACCACATGACTATAAATATAACCAGCGGAACCCTCCCAAACATGGCTTCATTGCAGGCCCAGGCGTGCAGGCACATGAATCGCTTACATGGGTGTTCTTAAAGCACGCAGGTAACGTCGCCTTTCCTCTTCTCTTCTCTGACCTGGACTCCAACACAGATGCCATGTTTCTCCCCCCTTCTTTCTGTGCCATTGAAAAAGGTTTACTGAGGCGCTGGCCAGGTAGCTCAGTTGGTTAGAGGGTTGTCCCAATACACCAAGATTATGGATTTGATCCTGGTCAGGGCACATACAAGAATCAGCCAATTAATGCATGAATAAGTGGAACAAAAAATCTCTCTCTCTCTCTCTCTCTCTCTCTCTCTCTCTCTCTCTCTCCTCTCTCTCCTCTCTCCTCTCTCTCTCTCTCAATTTTAAAGAGGTTAATTCACATATCATGTAATTCACCCATTAAAAGTGTAAAATTCAATGGTTGTAAATATGTTCAGAATATCTGTACCATGTTATTTTTTTAAGTTTCTTATCTAAGTTTTGTCCATCTTTCTTTCCCTGGTGCTACCTGTTAGGTTTGTTATCTTCCCCATTCCCTGTATCTTCAAAACCAACTTAAATGAAGTATAAGTTTTAAAACATTTAAATTAAAGCAAGAAACTAAACAACAACAACAAGATACCGAGACTCCGGGCGCCCTGTACTGAGAACTGGAGCCATTTCAACCTGGAAGCCTTTTCCTGTTGAGGAATAAGCAGTCCGTTAAGGAACTGCCTTGCAGAAAGGAAATGCAAATGGGAGTATAGGATGCCAAACACTTTCAAAGCTGTCCTGCCAAGAGCAGTGGGAAGTGTATAAGTAAGAGACTGGGAGAATGTGCTGAAAACTCCACGTCTCGAAGCAGATTTGCAGTACCGGCTGCCTCGGGCTTCAGATCGAGCTGCGGTGGCACCTAGAGCTGAATTAGGAGTGCCTGCTTGTCCGCCCTGAGGCCGCACCCCAACGGGGGCAGCCTCCCCCTCATGAGCTCCCTGATCATGCTGCCCTCACAGCGGTCCAGTCCAGGAGACTGTGCAGAAAACAGAGCAGAAAATGGTAGGAGAACATCAAATTCTATTTAGACCGTGGTCTCAGTGATGGGAAACGCATTTTAAGGTGGCAACGGGAACAATGGAAGGGTGGCAGTGGCTGTGCTGGGTGGGGTTGTCGTTCCCTCGTATTTTCTTCTTTATAATTGAATATGTCCTCTGATATTTCTATGAGGTAGGAAAAGGTGCTGGGCGGAAGCTGTCACGGGGTGCTCTGGGACACCCCTGGAGGAAGGACAGAGGGCAACAGGTGTTTTGTCAGGCCCGAATCTCTAGCCAGATACAAAGCCCCCACGTGTACACCTGCTCTGCCTGCCTTGATGGTCCGCAGTTACCAAGTTCCTTCTGCGCAGCTGTAGCCCTGGGCATCCTGCCTGCCTGGTGGCTCAGCCTGTCATTCCTGTGCTACAGGCCCAGGGATGGAGTAAGCCTGCCTCTCTCTCCGGAGCCCTGTCTGCAGGTTTTGCTTTTGTTTCTGTTTTCGCTTCAACATTAGCATCCTTTGGGGACCAGAACAGCACTGACAGCTCCCAAATGAGCAAGAGAGCAGATTCCCGGGGTCAAGTGCATCCTTCAGCCCGGGGGTGGGGGTAGGGGGGTGGGAAGAGGGAGACGAAAGGTGGCCCGTCTTCCTGCCTGTCGCCAAGGCCGGAGGTGCTGGGTGAGTGGTTCCGCCAGAAGACTGCATCTTAGCCCCAAGCACTCTTCTCGAGGCGCTGGGCCCGGCACAGGCCAAAGACAGAACCTAGGGGAGGGCAGTGAGCCCGAGCAAGTACGGCATCCGATGACCTCACCCCCAGAAAATGGGCCAGGACACTGAGCATCAGAAAGGAAGCAGCTCAGACAGGAGAGGGGTCTGGTGGGCTCTCCAGCTGGCGTTAAAGAACAGCAGCCCTGGCCATGGCGCTGGAGCCCTGGGGCAAGGCTCTCACCAGTTAATCCTGTACCCCAACCCCGGTTCTGAGTGGGTGCCTGCCACACAGAGAAGGTCTGTAGGGATTTGTCTAATGAATTACAAACTGTTCAAGAAATTATATAAAGGGTATTCTTCTTGCTTTTTCCTCCGCATCTCGTCTGTCTTCCCCGAATTCATGATTCTATTCACATGTAGTGAGCACCTACTATAGTCTAGAAACTATGCCGTCTAGGAATTCAAGATGAATAGGAATTTAAAGATGAGTAAGTCACAGAGAGTACGGTTGAATGGCAGCTACGTGTGTTAGGGTGGAGGAGAGACAGGCGTGTGGTCTTTAAATGTGACAGTGGAGCAGGGCCACCTTAGCACATGGGCCAGGAATGGGGGGGGCACAGAGGGAGGGGGGCAGTTACCCATCAGGAGTGCTGGTCAGAGATGTCTTTGTGAAAAGGTGGCCGCTGAGCTGAGTATTCAACATGGTCGGGCAGAGTTTCTAACAGCGGAAATGGACCAGAGGTGGTGCAGGCAGCAGGCAGCAGGCAGCAGGCAGCAGGCAGAGGTGAGCGGAGTCTCTGTGGGAATATGGCTTCATGAAGGGCAGAGTCAGCAACAAGGCCAGAAAGGTAGGCTGACGTCAGGCCATGGGGAGCCAGGCCACCAAGTCTGGACTTAATTCTCCAGACAACGGACCACCCATACAGATATCAAGCATAAGAACAAGATCAGACCTGCGTTTCAGCCAAGTTATTCTGGCCACAGGGTGGAGGATGGGTTGGTGGGAGTAGAGGCCTTTTCCAGGTGAGAGCTCAAGACCAGAGCACAAGAAGGAACAAGCACGCAAACTAGATTATGCAGCAGCAGGAATGGAAGGCAAGCGGCAAGTGAGAGACACTGAGGGAGACACAGCGGCAGGATCCGCACGACCTGGCGCGAGGCCACAGGTGTGTAGACGGAGCACGCAGGGGGCATCAACCAGATTCAGGCTGAGTCACTCACAGATGTGGTTGTGCATTCAGGCCACATCTAGAGATGGTGGGGGACTCGGAAACTCCCTTTTTTGCTTTGGCAAAGCACCTTGAGCATTTCTAGCAAACAGTTTGGAATGAGAGCAATAAGGAAGCACCGATCTCACAGAGGTCAGAGCCACCCAGGCTGTGTGGTCTGGGGAAGGCACTTCACCACTCTAAGCCTCAATATTTCATTCTGCAAAATGGGGGTGATCATGAGTCTATTTCAGGGGGTTGTTGTTAAGAGGAGAGATGATATCCCTGGGGCCACATTTAACAGCCTGACACAGTGGCGTTCCATGACTGTGACTCTTATTACTATTACAGCACAGGTTGCAGGGTGCACTCTGAACAAGGTCAGGGCCTTCATTTAAACTAGCACCAGGGAAAAACTAGCATTAGGAAAAATGCTGGGTCTTCTTGGGTGGTTTTCACAACACTCACTCAGCTGAAAATCACACCTTCATAAAAAAAAAAAAAGGCAGAAGCCATCATGTCTCCAATGGCTTGTCACCCATTTAGATTCAAGTCCTAAGTCCTTACAGTGGCCTTGCAAGTGCCACATGATTTGGTGCTAGCTCCCTCTCTAATATCCTCTCTACTTTCCCCCTCACTTACTTCACTCTAGCCACAGGCATGCTTTGCTGTTCCCGAAACATGCTTGACATGAGCCCACCATGGTCTTTGCACTTGCTATTCCCTCTGACTGGCATGCTCTTTGCCTGACATCGTCCTGTTTTGCTTCCTCACTTCCTTCTGTTGTTTGCTCAAATTTCATTTCCTCAAATAGGGCCTTTTCTGACCATCCTAAAATTACACCTTCCATAGGTCCCTGTTCCCTTATTCTGCACCATTTTTCTTCACTGGACTTATTGTCCAATAAGATGTCTTATATACATAATTGTTTATTTCTTTATTGCCTTCTTTCCATACTACAAATTTTGTTCTATTCAAGTTATTATTATGCCTAAAAAAGAGTCTGGTGATCAGTAGATTTAATAATTACCCATTGAATGAAAGCAGTGCTTCCTCCTGGAAACACTCCATTCTCCTGTTTTCCTGGTTTTGTCCCTGCTTCTTCTTCTTCTTTTAATCCTCACCCAAGGACATGCTTAGAGAGAGGAAAAAGGGAGGGAAGGAGGGAGGGAGGGAGAAACCGATGTGAGAGAGACATCGGTTGCCTTCTGCACATGCCCTGACTGGGGATCAAACCTGCAACTCAGGTGTGTGCCCTGATCGGGAATCAAACTGGCAACCTTTTGTTGCACAGGATGATGTTCAACCAACTGAGCCACTCCAGCTGGGCTCTCCCTGCTTCTTCAGATATTCCTTCTTAGTCACCTTTACTGGGTAACCCTCTTCTAACTGGCTTCTCAGTGCTGTGTTCCTCAGGGCTCCATCTTGGATCCTTTCCCCTCTCTCTTTACCCTCACCCTACATGATCTCATCCATTTCTATAACTTTACCGTCTTTATGTGGCTTACTTCCAAAATCTATCTCTAGCCCAGAACTCCAGACACAGATAGCCACTGGACTGTATAATAAGGTATTTCAAAATGAACATGTTCATAACTGAATTCTGGACCCCCCTTCCCCTACCCTCCCCCTCTCCCTCCCCCTGCTATGCACACCGAACAAAAACCTGCAACCCTCCAGAATTCCTGAACAGAAAGATTGATCTGGCTGAAATGAGGGGGAAACTGTTCTGTTTATGGAGGACTTTATTTAAGGAAGACTGAAAAAAATCAGTTTTATCAAAGAAGGAGAGGAGCAGGTTGTAGGTATCACTGGGAGTGTTGGACACTCTTCGCTAGTACTGTCCTCCTCCCCTAGTCCCCACTCTCTTAGAAAAAGGCACCACTGGCCACTGGGTTACTCAAACCAAAACCTTAGGATTCCTACTTTTTCTCACGTCTACCTCCAATCCATCAGCCACTTCTGTTTTCCACAAAGCACAATTTGAAGCCACCCTCTTCTCTCCACATCTACTGCTTCTTCTCTGTTTGGTCACCATCATCTCTCACTGGACTCCCGAAGGCGCCTCCTATCTCATGTCCCCATGTCCATTCATGCAGCTTTGAACCTATCCTCCGACTAGCATCAAGACTGATCTAAACTGTGAACCATATCACGTGTTCTTTAAAAACCTTACATGACCACCCATGTACTTAGAATAATACTTAAGCCCGATACTGGCCATGCCCAAAGACCTGCTGATCACTCCGTCCTCAGCACGTATCATTCTCCACTGACTGGACACAAACCAGTCTCCTGTCTGTTCTCAGGATACACCAAACTCTTTATTGCCTCAGTCCTTAACATACGCTCTTCTTTCATTTCTTCTCATGACTAGCTGCGTTTCAAATGAATTTATCCAGCAGCCTGAAACAACTAAACACTGGTCAAAATATATGAACCAATGTTTTCAGACATTGGCAATGAGGGAGCAGAGGTGAGGAATTCCTGAAAGAACAGAAATAAACAAAGGTGAGCCCAGCGATTGCCCCAGGTTGCTACCTGAAGGCAGTATCCAGGAGGCAGCATCAAGAGGGGTAAGTCAGGCAGAGCTCCTAGGTCTTTCTGGGATGAGGAAGTGGAGTTGGGTGTCTAGGTGCCACAGTGGCCAGCGTGTGCAGGGCAGAGTGCCAGAAGAGAGAGAGCAGCACAAAGAAAGAGCTCTGGACGTCCACTGAGGCTCTTCCCTGAACCTCCGGCTGAATATGTGGGAGGAAACTACACAGTGCCATGGAAAGAAAACCTGAAAGGATCAGAAGGAACAATCCTTGAAATTCACCCAGCACTATAAATAGTTTGTTTCCATCAGCCAAAGTAGGAAAATCTCCAAACTCATGGATTGTCAGGCACAGTACCCAGAGGGGTGCTATATCAGCAGAGGAGAATGTTAGTCCTAAAGGTTGCTCTGATTCCAAATAACAAAGCATAAAAGCTAGCCACAAAAGAAGAAAAATCTAGACTCAAACTGTTTCCAGATAACATAACTCTGACACAGAACAAAGCACAAGAATTCTAAGGAGAGTACAAAAATATGCAGCACTCAACAGGGTAAATTTTATTTTGGTCACCCAAGCAAATATTACGAAGCTTGTAAAAAAGCTGGACAATACACAACCCATAATAAGGAGAAAAATTAATCAGTAGAAACAGACCCAGAAATGATACAGATGGTGGAATGAGTAGACAAGGACATTAAATAATTATAACTATGTCATATACTATTCTAACCATGTTAAAGTAGAGGAAATATAGACCATTTAAGTAAAAATATGAAAGATATAAAAAGGCTCAAATGAAATTCAAGAAATGAAAATTGAATGATCTGATACAAAAAAATACACTAGGTGGGATTAATAGATTAGAGATGGCAGAAAGATTAGTAAACATGAAAAATAGCTATAGAAACTGAAACTGAAACAGAGAAAAGGCCTGAAGGAAAAAATAAACAGAACATCAGTAAACTCCGGGCAACGTCAAGCAGCCTAAGGGGGTGAGGAGGAAACTGGTTGGTGATGGTTTCATAGTTAGTTGCACAGGTGGTTAAGCCTTATGAAATTGTATGCTTTAGATATATTCAATTTATTGTACTTCAATTGTGTCACAACACTGTTATAAGAAAGCAACGTGGAACTAAAACAACATTGGAAATGGAAGTGTGGTGGTGGACAAGTGGGTTTGTGGGAGGCTGAACAGCACCAGGTGTTAGTCCGAAGGGGAGTTCAGCAACCTCAGTAGTTGAGTTCTGGCTAAGAAAGAATTCAGATACAAGACTCAAACTATATGAGCAAGTTTATTTAGAAAATCACAGAGGTAGAGGCGATCCATAGACGAAATGGGCTCAGGCAACAAGTTACAGAGGCAAAAGAAAGGCCCTTGGAGCTTTAGAGAAAAAGAGGAAAGGAAAAGGCCTCTGGGAGAAGGGGGTGGGGAAAGGCCAGGGTGTGCTCCATGGAAACAGCTGCACTCTGTCCCTGAACCAAGGGCTTTCATCTGGAGGCCTCAAGGGAGAATCCCAATAGAACATTCGTGAGCTTTCCTGGGGAGCCCCCCTTGTGGTCTACTGATTAGTCAGCACCAGGGGGTTCCTAGTCAATGCAGCCGGTCCTGATGCCAGCCCTGTGTCACTCCATCTGATTTTGCTGCTTCTCTGGGCTCAGAACTGAAACACAGCTGAAGCCTAGATGTCATCTTCCAGGGATGAACACTAGGGGAGTGGTCCTACAAGGGCTTGTAGTTCCGCTGGTTGCTAAGCGCCCAGGGCTCTCCACCCTGGTGAACCTCTGCACCTGGCCTAAGGTTCCTACACTGCTCATACCTAATTGCCTACTGCAGGCTGGGAGACCAAGTGTGGAGAAGCAATAATTTTCTAAGCTGCTTATCTATTTGGGAAGAGTGGCGTATGGATACGTCTTAACTGCATAGCTTGTTATAAAAATGTTTTAAAACAAATATCTTAAAAATGTATGAATAGCCACTGACTGAAGCAAAATAGACTGTATTTCTTGAAACCAGCTGAAGGGTTCAGCAGGGTGACTAAATGCACAAGATTAACAGTTAAATCAATACCTTCTCTCCACACCAGCTGTAACCAATTAGAAAATATAATGGAAACAAGAAAGTTTTCATAGTAGTATACTATGACATACTATAAACAGATATACTCTAGGAACAAAACTAACAAAAACATAAACCAGACCTTTATGAGGAAATGTATAATGTCCTATTCAAGGACATTATTTTAAATCTCAGCCTCTTACTGTGTGTTTCCTCCCTAATACTTACTAAAAACTGCATTTAAAAAAACACATATTCTTTGCAACAATAAACGTTACTTAAGAAAGGTGAAAAAACAATATTGGTTTTGTCGTCTTCCCCCCCTTTACACTGTAAATTTCTTTCTTCTTTTTTTTTTTTATCTTGTGTGTGCGTGTACCATTCCCGGAGGTACTGCGATAGCGTGTCGATGCGCAGAGTGGACGGAGCAAGCTCCTATTCCACCTTCCTGCTCCGAAAATCCATTTAATATATTGTCCTCAGAAAGAGGAGGTATCAGACATTAAACTGGTAAGAACAGATACTACACTTGATCTTAGCCAAAAGGCCGAGAAGCGATGCGCTGTTTCTTGGGGAAAACGATTTTGGATCCAAGGGTCCTCACTCCATCCCCTAGAGATACCTTGCACAGTGCTTGGCACAGTCGGCCCTCCTAGTCGCAAAACCTGGGGGGACTGGAGCACTCGCGGGCCCTCTTTCTCTCCCTGCTGGGTTCCGTGTTACGCAATAATGCCCAGAGATTGCTCCACGCCTTCCACGTGACCACACCCGACCACGGCTCATCCCAGCCAATCAGAATACTTCACACCCACGACCACGCTCCGCCCCCACCGCTGCTTGCGGAGGGATCTTACGTCTCACACTTCTTTTGCCACCAGCTTGGCCAATGCGGCTGCGCGCTGCGCCCTGATTGGCCAAGGGCTGTGGAGCTGCGCGCGCAGGCGCAGCCTCGGTTACTAAGGGCGGGAGCCCGGCGAGGGCGCCGGTGGCTGGTGCTGTCTTAGGTCCCTCGAAGCCTGCCCGCGTTCGCCATGCCGAACCGCAAGGCCACCCGGAATGCCTACTATTTCTTCGTGCAGGAGAAGATCCCTGAACTTCGGCGGCGAGGCCTGCCGGTGGCTCGCGTGGCGGACGCCATCCCCCACTGCTCTGCTGATTGGGCGGTAAGGCCGGAGGGGTCAGCGGGCAGGGCAGTTGGGCAAGCCAAGGCGAGGCCGGAGGGCCAGGCCGGCGGGCGAGGCCAGAGGGCAGGAGGCCTCGAGGAGGACAGCGACCCTGTGCCAGGGGGAGGGGAACCCCTACGCCCCCCCGGGCAAACGGACGCCTGAACCGCAGCCCCTCTAAGTCTGGGCCTCCGCCTGCGGCCGGGGCGCTCGGGCCTCACTGCTGTTTCCCTTCGTGTCTCCCCTGCAATGTCCGAAGCTCCTGAGCCAGGACGAAAAGGAGAAGTACGCAGACATGGCTCGAGCATGGAGAGCCGCCCAGGGAAAGGAGTCGGGACCTTCCGAGAAGCAGGTAAGGGTCGCCGAGATGCGCAGCTACGGGCCTGGCTTCCGGGCCGGGGAGTAGGTGCCGGATGCGTGCATGGGGGCTCGTCGGGCAGGTGGCTGGGCGTTGGGGTGAGGAGGTTTTCGTTTTCCTCCTGGTGTCAGAATGCCGGTTATGAACCCGGCAGGCTCCCCTGCGAGGGCCCAGGTTGGTATCCCTGGCAGCGGAGACCAGGGAAATCCCATCAGGGAACCGGCTGCCCGTGAGCCCTGACGCAGGGGGAGCGGTGGCATTTAGGGCCCGTACCGCCGGGCCTCTGAGGGTCCCTTTCCACCCTTTCGTGGTTTAAGAACGCTTTTTCGGGTATTTTAGAGTAGTTTGGGCCAGCATCTCTTTTTAAGTGAACCAGGCCAGCTGCCCTATGTAAAATACTGACATAAGGAGACTTGCAGAAGTTGGCAAATGTTTCATGCCATCCAGGTAAGCATTGAAGACGGCGAATTTGGTAAATTTCTGTGTAAGCGGAACGTAAACATCCCCGGTAAGATTGATTTCTTGATTGATGTCGAAGCGCTGGGTAACTGCGTTTCAAAACCACTCCTGTGTTCTCTCCATTCTTACACAGTGAAGTTCCGTTCTTCCTCTCAACTGCCAGTGTCGGATTCAAATTCCAGAGAGCTTTGCCATGTTTAGGTTTGCGAGGTTTCTATTTGGGGGATGTATGTTAGGGTAGAAGCTCTAATCACTTCAGTTCATTACTTACACTTGCGAGCCTTGATTTTACCCCCTTCTTTCTACTATAATGTGTTATAAGACGTTTCCCATCAGAAAGTTGTATTGTCTATACACCTCATTAACACTTGGAGTCAACATGATCTTTTTTTTTTTTATGAAAAGCAAACAGTATTATTTTTCCAATGATGTCCCTTTGGCCACTGGACTGGCACATATTATGACTCATTAGGAATAGTTTAGGTTGTCAGTAAGGGAGGGGCAAGTAGTCCTCAGCAATGGTTGAATTTAAGGTATTTACCACTCACCTTTGATTCAGGATATTTATAGATTTTGCCATTGTCTGCTTTTCACGTTGTCATTGACAAGTGTGTATGTATTTACCCATTGGGCTTGTTGGCCTGGAGAGGTTATTGAAGTAATCTGTGGGCGGTTTTCCAGCTATTTTGCTAAATTTAAGTTTGTGGTATAAAGTGCCAAGCAAGAGTGTAAGGATGTGGTCAATCATTCTCTTCCTCTTCAGAAACCTGTTTGCACCCCACTGAGGAAGCCAGGCATGCTTGTACCAAAGCAGAATGTTTCACCCCCGGATATGTCAAGCTTGTCTCTGAAAAATGATCAAGGTAGAGTAATCCTAACATGTTTTATTTAGTTACATTTGGGTGCTCAAGACGCTGTAATATGTTGATCAGTAAGTGCGTGTTGTGTTTATTTTGAACCTGCATTTCAAAGAAATTGATTACAGGTGTTCAAGAATGATGGCGCCAAGGTGGTAAGAGATCAGGTTATTTGCATTTGTTGAAGTAACACTGGAGAGTTTTTTGTTTTACAAAAACCTGTCCTCTTGGTTTCTACCACTTCATGTATTATCAGACATACCTTATGCATTTGTGGTTATAGCTAGAGACTTAAGTATATAGGGACTTGCACATTTGTGTTATAAAGATAAAGTTGAAATATTGATCTAGCCCAGAAAAGAACATAGTTAATAAGAGTCCTTGCCATTCCCTTCTGGCTTATTTTTTGATATGTTTATTTTTATTGATTTCAGAGAGGAAGAGAATGAGATAGAAACATCATTGATGAGAGAGAATCATTAATTGGCTGCCTCTTGTATGCCCCATACTGGGGATCAGGCATGTGCCCTGATCAGGAACCAGACTGTGACCTTCTGGTTCATAGGTTGATGCTCAACCACTGAGCCACGCCAGCTGGGTGTGGCTGTTTTTATTAATTGTGGTCTGACTTTGTTGAAGATTAATAAACTTTCAACAGTCTTAGAGGTGGTCAGTCCTGGTAATAAGACCGATCTCCCATCCTCACATTTTTTTCTGCCTTAAGATAATTTATAGATGGTCTTGTGTATATTGGTAACCAGGGAAGGGTGAACTAAATTGTCCATAGTTTATATCACAGAGTTTTTCTACACTAATTTGGACTCATTTCTCAAATGCTTATACTACTACTTGTTGACTATGGGTCATTCCTGAGATTCAGGGCTTATGTTTAGCTAAATTATATAGAGTAAGCTGCAAGTTTTGAATAATTTTGTTGTTTCATGCAGACTGGTTACTGCTTTAACCCTTGATAAGTGCCATTGGAAAGCTTTTGATTCATTTATCCCATACAGCTGATTCGTTCTTTTTCCCAGCTCCTTTTGGTATGTAGGAACAAAAGGAAAATGGCTCTAGAGTTTGCTTTTGTAGAAGGGTAAATTTGAGATGCTCATCAGTTCATGTTGTCTGTGATTTTTTTTTTTAGCTCTCCTTGGAGGCATTTTTTATTTTTTGAACATTTTTAGTCACGGCGAACTGCCTCCTCACTGTGAACAGCGCTTTCTCCCTTGTGAAATAGGCTGTGTGAAATATTCTCTCCAAGATGGTATCATAGCGGACTTCCACAGTTTCATCAGTCCTGGTGAGTAGCCAGATGCAGCAGGCCTAGATCTTTAAAAGTATGGGTTTTATCTTGAACTCATTTGATACACTATTTGTTTTCTTAAAAGCTGATATCCAGTTGAGTTCTTAAACTGTAACAAGACTTCATAATACTTGGTTGAAAAACGGTTAAGAATTATGTGTTGACACAGGTTTTTGGTTTAGGCTTTTAACTTCAGGTAAGCATCAGAGTTGGATGGATGGAATGCCTGGAATCGTGTAGCCTGCTCTGTGCTCACCTGCTCTGTGCTCACCTGCTACTCTACACACTGGAATTTTCTAAAAGTTTTTTATACTGTGGCTCCTCTGAAGGGTTCCTTTACCCCATCCTTCACCGAAGCTGTCACCAGTTTTTAACTATTTATTGCTTTGTAACTTTGAGCAAAGTCCTTAACCTTCCTGAGCCTATTAGAGAGCTGCTCTAAGGAATAGTGAGAAAGTGTGGAAAGAGCCTCGTAGTTGCAGGCTCTCAGATGTTCTTAGTATCTCTTCTTCTCACTACTCCACCTGATTCATCAGAGCAGTTTGTTACAAAGACATGGGATTTGGTTTGTTTTCCGAGAGGATAGACCAGTGGTTCCCAACCTTTTCTTTGGCCATGCCCTACCTAAGCATCTCTAAAATCCTGAAGTCCCCCCTTCCCCGTGACATAGAATTTTTATTCAGAAAGTGAACTCCTATTCACATGGAGGAAGCCTAAAAGGCCATTAACTTTGTCTAAACAAGCTTCCAAAGATAATGGCACCCATGAAAGAGAAAAATAAAAGAATGAAAGGACAGTTGAAGTATTAAGTAAGAAATTGTTAAAAAAAATAACAACATGAAGTGATATGAAGAAATAGCAAATAAAGTTTCAAAACATGTAATAGAGAACTGAAATACATAAATATGTCACCATCTATATTTATATACTTTATATGAGGCCCATAGAACCATAAGAAATGCAAAAAATTCACTGTTGATAACTCATTCTTGGAATTGCCCCCCTGTGGGGCGTGTGCCCCATGTTGGGAACCACTGAGATAGACAGTAGTTAAAGGGACACGGGCACTCTACCTTTGAAGGTAAGCAGGAGAAATATAACTTCTTCATATGGAGACGTGTAAAGGAGAAGAGGTCGGGGAAAGAAGAGCTTCTTCCTCAGTTTTGTCAGTTGCTTTTACGTTCATTAAGATGCCCAGCACGTTTTCTTGTTTCTAGGTGACAGGAAACCGAATCCTGCTCCTACTGAGAGTTGCTGCTTAGGACAAGCCAATGACTACTTTTTTATATGGTTGCAAAACATGAGAAAGCTCGAGCTTAAAGACTCTCCTCAGAGAACCTAAACTCAAGGACCTCATGAACCCCTGAGGTCCATTCCTGGACCCTGAGCTCAGACCCTTTAGCACAAGTGTTCTTTCTAAAAAATACATGTTTTTATTGATTTTAGAGAGAGAGAAACATCCATTGGCTGCTTCCCACATGCACTCCGACCTGGAATCAAGCCTGGAACCTGGGCATGTGCCCTGACTGGGAATCAAACCAGTCACCTTTCCGTGCATGGGATGATGCTCAACCCACTGAGCAATACTGGCCAGGACCAAGTGTTCTTTACCTAAGATTTCTTTCTCGGTAAGGAATAATTTGCTTTTTGAAGTAGCTTGACAAAAAGACAAAAAATTTTGATGGTCATCATACCTTTGGTTAAAAAACCCATGATGAAATAGGTTTACTATCTTGTATTTTTACATAGCAATAACAGTTACCCACCTATGTTATGACTTGGTTGTCCTGTGGAATATTGTTGCTGTAAGATAGCCACAGAGCTGCCAGATTTCTGCTCTTCTCAGCAAAATATTTTGTATTACAGGTGAAATTCCACGAGGATTTCGGTTTCATTGTCAGGCTGCAAGTAAGTATAAAAGAGTGGGGTACATTATAGGCATTGAATGAATATGTGTGTGTGTACCTGGTTAAGACTTAACTGCTTTTACCAGATACATGAAATGTCAGTTGAAAAATAACCTTAAGTTAGTTGGAGACTCTTCATAGAAGTGGTAGATGTGTAAATGATCCTTAAAAACTTTAAAGTTATATACACTTTGTAGTATAATATCCCTTTTCCTTTATGGGGGTTGTGTTTTTATTTTCTGCCTTTGGCTTTGAGATTGGCTGCTTTTACTGGCCAGATACGTAGGTAAGTCTTTTAGGAGGTATCAGATTATTTAGGTTTATGGGAATTTACAGGGAGACCTTTCAGAATGAAGGAGAGATGATGTTTCAAAAATGACAGAATGACGGTGTTAAACACACAAAGGAGCTCTGAATTAACTTTTAGATGAGGAAATCAGGTTTTTATTTTCAAGTTTTCAGCAGCCAAAGGACATGACTGTATATACCTCAGCTCTTGAACTAAACTATTTTCTAGAAACTAGATTTTAACTAGGTTCCTGTTTGATTAGAATGAAAATTGGGATAATAGATTTATTTTAAAATTTATATTAGAAAGTGTTTGAAATTAGAAAAATGTTCTTTAAATCTGTAATCAGCTATTTTGTAATACTTATAAAGGTAAATGAGTGTTTTAGATTCAGTTTTGGTGGTGTCCTTTGAGTTTTTTCATAAACAGTATGATATGAACACCAAAAAACAAGCAGACCAATAGAGCAGAATGAAATACCAAAAAGATTCGTGTGTGGTACAGGAGTATACTCTGCATATCAGAGAGTACATTGATTACTGGTATTCAATAAGGGAGGCTGAGATAACTGATTATCCACGTGGGGGGTAGGGAGGGATACACTGAATCTACCTCACACCATAAACAAGTCGATTCCAGGTGGAGTAAAGACTGGATATAAAAATAAAACTTTACCAGAAAGTTTTATTCGTGACCTTTGTGCATTCACGTTAAAGGTGGAAATCGGTTAATTTACCTGATCTTATTGTTTAAGGTTATTCTGTAGTCTTAAGGAATGTGTTTTCAATCTTTGAATTTACATTTGGTTCTTGTTAATGGTTCTGCTGAAATTATCATTTTTTTATTTCCTGAATATAATAAGCTTCGTTATTTTAATGTCTTATGTCTGATAACCCTGATACAGAGCTTTTTTTCTTTTTGGGTCTGTTTTTATAGTCTGTTGGTTACCTTGATGTTCAATCAAGTTATCAGATCTCTTCATGTGTCTGGTTATTTTTCATTGAGTGCTGGACAGTATAAATAATGTTGTTTTTTTCTCCCCAAAGAAGATGTTGCTTCTGTCCCAAGGCTGGCCTTAATTTGATGGCCTTAATCCAATTTCAGGATTAAAACTGGTTTCAGACCTGATGAGAGTCAGTCTATTTCTAGTTGATCTTTACTAAAAAGGGGGAAAGGTGGACAGATTACCATCAAAAGATCATTGGTGAAATTTATAGTTGACTTCACAGCATAAACAATGGAAGCTTGGAGACAATTGGATATTTTTATTACAAATGCTTTATAAACACAGTGACACTGGAGCATTACTTTTAATTCTTACTAGCTCTGGGTCTGTCGAAAACTCAGTTTCCCAGCCTCTGACCCCCTTCTTCTGGAATCAGTGACCAGGTCAGCTCCAGGCCGTCTTTCCGAGGCCTTGGGCCCGTCTTTCCTCACCCATTTGTACCTCTCAGGGCTTTCAAGCAGGTGTCTCATTGGTCCAGCTTTCCCCTACTCTGCTGTGATCAGAAGTTGAACGTCTGTATCCTTTTCATAGTTTCCAGTTTTATGCTGAATTTGTAATTTGATCTCAGATATAAACATGATTGTTTAAAATCTGTCCAATCACTTCAGAATCTGGAATATTTTTGGATCTCTCTGTACCACTCTGTTTTGGTTCTGATTCTTGTTTTTTTGTGTACTTGGTAAATCATTGAAAAAAGTGATTTTAAAGTAATTTGAGGCTTATACTGATGTTCCTTTTCTTCGAAGAGGATTTCTGGGTTTTTTTTTCTAGACACGTGGGGCCTCGCTAGCTCGCCAGGCCCCCAAAGCAGTGAAGTCGCACTTCCCACCAGTCACCTCCCTCTTCTGGAATTGGCACACGACTCCAGGGCCACTGCCCCACAGCAAGGCTCTGTGCTCTGGAGTCTGTTCACTTCCACCTGCTCTAATAATTCCTTGCCGCTGGATGTGCTCTTGGTGTCCCCAAGCACTTTACATCTCTGTGGCAAGGTTGGTCTGAGTGACTTGGTCCACTTTTTGCTGGAAGTGGAACTCTTCTTCTTACAACTTTGAAAAAGTGGTCGTTATTGTTAAGTTCTGTGGCCTTATTAACAGACAGATTAATGAAATGGTGAAGACACTGAGGCTCAGTCACTTTACAGACCTGGGTTTCAGTTCTCACTCTACTGCCAACTGTTAACACAGCCATCCCCCCTTGTCCGCAGGGGACCTGTCTGAACTCCCCATGGGTGCCTGAGACTGCAGAGTTCTAAACTCTGTATACTGTGTTTCTTCTCTACAGACAAACCTGGGATAAAGTGTAACATCAATTAGGCATGCTAAGAGATTAATAACAGTAAGAATAAAACAACAGTCAGAACTATAGACTAGTAAAGTTCTGTGAATGTGGTCTATCTCAGAATATCTTATTGTACTGGCTTAGCCTTCTTCATGATTTTTTTCTTTGCCGTTTCACAGATAGGAGATTCATTCTTCTGATTTTGGCAGCCTTAGCATACAACCTTTTTTCTCATTTAGTTGGGAACTTTCACCTTTTCACATAAAGGAAGCCCTTTCCGGCTTCTCTGTGGCAGATCCGAATCGCAGCGTCACCACTCTTGTGCTTTGGGCTGTTCTTAAGTGAAATAGGGGCACTCGAACACAAGCACTGCGGCACTGTGACAGTCAATCTGGTAGCTTGGACGACAAGTGACTAAGGGGTAGTTAACGTCTACAGCGTGGAGACCCAGGACAAAGGGATGTCTCGCCCTGGGTGGCACAGAGAGGGACATTGTGATTTTCATAACACTATTCAGAATGGTGCTCAATTTAAAACTTTAAAGAATTGTTTATTTAGGGAATTTTCCATTAAATATTTTCAGATCACAGTTGAAGCAGGTAAACTGCGGAAAGCAAACTGGATAAGGGGGCACTGTGATGCTTTCTTCTGTGACCGCAGCTGTCTCTTCTCTGTGTGTATCCCCTACCTGATAAGGGGGGTGAGAGGGATAAGACAGCTAAAGTCCCTAATCTAACCAGGCTTGGTTCAGTGCTCAACATGAGGCACCCACTATCTTCCTTTCTTCCTACTTTCTTTCATACCTGCTTTGTAACATTTGTCTTAGTCAAGTTTTGAACTCCTGCCTTCTCTTTATTTCCTTCAGGTGATTCGAGTCACAAGATTCCTATTTCAAACTTTGAATCTGGATGTGACCAAGCAACTGTGCTGCAAAACCTTTATAGGTTCATCCATCCGAACCCAGGGAAGTGGCCACCTATCTACTGCAAGGTAATGTCAACGGAAGCATTTTTTTAAGGCATCTCCTTAGGTAACCAAGATCCATGAAAGGGACCCAGAGAAAGACCCTTTGCCTGTATATTAGCTGTGCGTGTGACTCAGTGTGTGTGTGACTCAGTGTGTGTGTGACTCACTGCGAGTCATTTTCATTGTAATTCGGTGCGATGCCTTTTCTTCTAAATTTCTCTTGTACTGAAGGCTGCTTTGATAGATCTCGTTTTTAGTTGCTCCTGAAATCCCTTCAAAATCCTTTTACCCTGAAGAGTGGATGTTTTAGTCCACAGACCCATCTGTCTAAACAAGATTACCTGTTTAATCAAAACTGTCCTGCAGCAATCCCTTGACTCTCTTATTTATTCTCTAGAGTTCATTTGTTCATTGCTGGGTCTAAATTCTTCTAAGCTAGGAGCTGAAGAATTGTCTTTTAACCTCACTATTTACTAGCATAACCATGAATAGATTATCTTTTTCTGAACATTGGGTTCTTCATTTTTCTACCCTAAGTCTCACTAGCTTTTCATAAAATATTATTTTATGAATATAGCTGGTTATTAATGGTAGTGGTCTATTCTGATACATGTTGCTCTTTGCTATAGTTCTCATCTAGCTGACACAGACTCTCCAGTCCTCTTCTGCCCCCCCCCCCCCCCCGCCCGCCCAGTTTGAGAGGAGAGCATTAAGTAACTCGGGCGGGCGGAGAAAATACAAGTCGTTTGTTCTCTCCTGCAGTCTGACGATAGAGCCAGAGTCAACTGGTGTCTGAAGCACATGGAGAAGGGGTTGGGTGAGTAGCCCTGAGCCCCTGCTCCGGGGCTGTAATATCTGCATTTGTTTCCATTTTGGTGTTCATGCTCTCCGTACCTGAAGTCACTAATCCTGTCTGTTTTTCTGTTCACCAATTAAAGAAATCAGGCAAAATATGGAACTTCTTACTGTTGAGGATCTTGTAGTGGGGATCTACCAGCAAAAGTTCCTCAAGGAGCCCTCCAAGACCTGGGTTCGGAGCCTCCTCGATGTGGCCATGTGGGATTATTCTAGCAACACAAGGTATTCAGTGGTTTTGTGATAGAGTGATTTTGACTTCTTTCCTGAACTGAGAAAATATGATAGGATTAGTTTTTGCCTTTTTAGGCCATATTTTCCTATCAAACCCTGGAATCATTATAGTTCCTTGAATATAAGATTCCACTGATTGTGAGACACTAGTACATTGTTACTTTGTCTACTAAAAACAACCAAAAACTGCCAATTAAACTGACAGTACTTTCACGTAGGATTTCTGTACTGATAAAACATTTTCTATTTAGGTGTTTTATTACATAGCATTCTTATACGTACATGTAAGAAATATATAAGTGAAATACACTGAGTGGCCAGATTATTATGACCACCTGACGTTTGTAGGCAAATTAGCTATAATTTCACACTGAAGTTGCGAGGGGGCCAGATCATTATAAACGTCTGAATAGCACAACATACCTAAGTATCGTTGCTGATCAAGTTCATCCTATCATGTTGATGGCATATCCCAGTGGAGATGGCTTCTTCCAACAAGACAGTGCACCATGTCACGATGCTGGTATTGTGCAGGAGTGGTTTCAAGAACATGAGGGAGACTTTACCTTGCTTAGCTGGCCCCCACAATCACCAGATCTCCATCCAATTGAGCATTTGTGGGACGAAGTTAAACGAGCCATCAGGCAGCTGGTTCCACAGCCATCAAATCTCACAGAACTGGACAGTGCTATTCATCAGGCATGGTGTCAGATTCCTCGCATCACCTTTCAAAATCTCGTGGAGTCAATGCCAAGAAGAATCGCCGCAGTATTGAAGGCAAAAGGTGGCCCAACTAAGTACTGATGGGGTGGTCATAATAATCTGGCCACTCAGTGTATATCAGCAAAAGTATTTTTTACTTTGAAGTAATTTCAGGTTTAGAGAAAATGTGCAGGAATAGTACAAAGAAGTCATATATGCCATTTTCTCAGATTCACTCAACGTTCTAGTACATTTCCTTTATAACTGTGTCTCAGCATTTATATACCACTTGAGTCGGTTGTGGTCATGATGCCTTTTACCCTCAGTAGGGAATGTTTTTCTAAGAACAAGCACATTTCTACGTTTTACCCCACTGTGATAGAGCTGGGGCTGCCTGCCACAGGGCCGCCGCCCAGAGGCCTCGCTCACACTTGCTGGTTGGTTCAGTAATGTCTTTTACAGCAAAACAGCAACAGTAACATCTAGCCTAGGGCTCATTCCAGGATCACAGGTCGTGTTTAGTTATTGTGTCTCTGTAGGCTCCTTTCACCGGGGATGGTCCCTCTCTGACCTCCATGACTTGGCGTTGGAAGGGTGCAGGCCAGGCACGGTGTAAGTCACGTCTCTCACTTGGCGTCGCCTGCATTTCCTCGTTAGACCGGGTCAGATATTGGTTTGAGGAGTAGCACGGAGTGATGTCTTCCCAGCGTCTCTCATCAGGAGGCATGTGTTGGCCCAGTGACTGAGGATACTGTTGATCACGTGCTTAAGACAGTGTCCGCCCGATTTCTCCACTGAATAGTGGAATTTTTCACCTTACGATGTTTTGTGGGGGATACTTCGAGATTCTGTTCCTGAAATCTGTGGGTTTCAGCATCTGTGAATGATTCTCACCTGGAACTTATTACTGTGTTTGTGAATTAGTGACTTTCTAACCCCATGGTCCCACTGTAGGAAAGAGCTGTTCCCTTTGCGCGTGCATTTGTAACGTGCTTTATGCGTGCGGACTGGCGGACTCCTTTCTGTTCCAGGGCTGTAATGTTCCTGTTATTCTGTAACTTTCCTCATGGCCAGGGCGTCCCTGCAAGCAGGGTTGTGGCTTGGCCATCTGCTGCTTCGCTTTCTGGCCCCTGTGGGCCCAGCTTGCCCTGCAACGTGCCCTGCAGCGGCTTGGGTCAGTGCTGCTTCTGGAGCCCCGGCGTCTGCCAGCCCGGACAGTATTAGGAACAGGCTCTGGGTGCTAGGGGTGCTCATCCTCCTGGAGTCCCTGACTGGTGTGCTCCCTGGAGCGCTCGGGCATGTCCGTGTACACACCCTCGGCACACGTATTGTGTAGCCCACTTGTCTCCCTCGCTGTGAGTTTGTACTAACCCTGCAGCTGCAGTCCTCAGCATGGGGTTCCTGGTGTCCACGCTTCTGCTGGTGCACTTCCCTTCCCTGCCTGAGCGCCTGGCTCTGAGGTCTGTGTGTGTGTTCCTGCCTAGGAGACGTTAGAAGTCGTCCAGGATGGTTCAGTGACACCCGGCAGTAGATAGACTCACTGACGGGTTTGTTTTTCGTTGTTTTTCAGTCTGAAGGTAATAGAAAGTAGTTCGTTCAAAAGTTATTTGGGTTTTTTCCTCCCTATCAGAGTGGTTAAATTACTCCTTTGCAATATAGTTAAGTCCATTTGCTAGTTTTTTTTCATTTCTGTTTTCTCCCATCCTTGCTTTTATCTTTTGAAAGTGTAGTGCACTAGCATGGCTCAAACAAAAAAGTGTATTCAGAGTATCACTCGCTTCAGTCTAGTTCCATAAAAAAGCTCCTTGGATTGCATTAAGTGTATAAATTAACTTGGGAGAATGAAATCTTTATAAAGTTAAATTCCATCCAAAGAACAAGAGGTGTCTTTTGATGGAATTTGGTTCAAATCTATTTTGGGGGTCTTTCAAGTCTGTATTAGCATTTTTCTTGTGCAGGTCACGCGTTTCTGGGGCTGCACTTCTGTGGCAGGTCCTGCTTCTAGAGAAACGGGCTTTATCGGCTCGCTGACTTTCCTGGGACCAGCTGTGGCCGTCGGGCCTTCCCTAGCAAATGGCACCTCATACGTAGGTCTCCCAGTGCATTTGAAAGTCTTCCAAGTGTCGTCTCTCATAGTTTTTAACAGTGTGCACTCAGCAGATGTTTGCTGAGCGAGTGCATATTCACCATGGTCACTGCTGTGTGTCTGGAGCGCTCGTGTGAGTTCAAGGTAAGATTGACCTGTTGTGGTTCTGAGGGGCTTGCATAGCGTCAGGAGTTTGCATGAGAGGAGGTACCATAAAAAGATCTGTTTTTTAAAAATCTATTTTTTGTGTTAAATTAGGAACCTTAATCTTTAAGTAATAGTGTCAGTTTTCTTTGAATGATTTCAACGAGGTAAATTAGAAGTCTGGCATGCAAAAACCCTTAAGTGGTGCTCTCTCATAAGATCAGGAGATTAAAGCCCTTTTTTTTATTCAGGTGCAAGTGGCACGAGGAAAATGACATTCTCTTCTGCGCTTTAGCTGTTTGCAAGAAAATCGCGTAAGTTGGAGAAAGAAGGCTCCTCTCATGTGGGTTCGCCATGGAAGTCTTGGTGTTGGGCTGGCCCTGGTGGTTGCAGTTGGGGAGAATGGCTGTTCGCCTCTATTCCCACAATTCCTTTTCAAAGCAAAGTGGGTTTTTCCTTCCTGTCTCTTTTATTATTCCACCCACGTCCCTACTTGTCTGGCATAGTTACCACCTGAGCGATTGGGGCAAACCTTCGTCAACACTTACTGGAGTCTTCCTCCGCAGTTCCTGCAGGAGGAAGTCCTGCGGCCATGAGGGCAGTGCTCCCTTGTGAAGGTGCTGGAAACACAGACCCACTTCTCCTTCTCAGCTCTGGGGGTTCTGGGGTCCCTTCCACGCTGAAGTAGTTGGATCTGAGGAGACATGAGTGTTTTCAAATTGCAGCCTTATTTCTGGTGCCCTCTTCTTGCCTTAAACATTTGAGAATTCTAGTGAACTTTATCTTCATTCATATTCTCTTAAAACAAACCTGAAATTTTATATGGTAATCAGAATATTAAGGCTTAGAAATAGGTGAAAATACTTAAAAATAACAGTAGTGGCCAGTTTTACATGTGTTGCTACCATTCCTGTTCCTTCTCAGAATCTCTGCATTTCTTTTTGCCAGTTTAGAGCAGTGTCCCTGCCAACCAGCTTTTATGGGAGAAACTAGAGGCCTGGTGCATGAATTTGTGCACCAGTGGGGTCCCTCGGCCTGGCCTGTAGGATTGGGCTGAAACTGGCTCTCCGACATCCCCCGAGGATCCTGGATTGCGAGAGGGTGCAGACCAGGCCAAGGGACCCCATTGGTGCACCATCGGGGCTGGGGAGGGACACAGGAGGTTGGCCAGCCGGGGGGGACCATGGGAGCGCTTCAGGGTGTGTCCAGCCCATCTAGCTCAATCCTGATTGGCTGGACCCCAGCAGCAAGCTAACGTACAAGTTGAAGCATCTGCCCCTTGGTAGTCAGTGCACATCATACGGAGTAGTTGAGCGACCTTAGCATATCATTAGCATATTATGCTTTGATTGGTTGAACGGCTGACTAGACAACCAGACACTTAGCATATTAGGCTTCTATTATATAGGATGTTTGAAGGATGAGTGCTTGTAGGAGGGGCTGGGCAAGACCTGGTGGTGACCTTTCCTTCCCTCTGAAGGTACTGCATCAGCAATTCTCTGGCCACGCTCTTTGGAATCCAGCTCACAGAGGCCCACGTGCCCTTGCAGGATTACGAGGCCAGCAACAGGGTGACACCCAAAATGGTCATATTGGATGCAGGGCGGTACCAGGTAAGGGCTGACTTTGGAGCTCCTGTCTCTTCTCATGTCCTCCTCGGTGTGGTCCTGGCCAGCAGCAAGTCAGGCCTTTGGTTCCCTCTCCCGTTAAAATTCCTAAAATCTCCATGGTGTGTGGAGCAGTTCTCACTCAGGTGACTCCTGCACAAACCCTTTGCCTTCCTGGTACATTTCCCACTCTCATTGACAATGTGTTAAGAAAATTAAAATTATACAAACCACGTCCAAACATGTATTCCAAAACTTACCTATCTGAATGTAGGTGATACAGCTATTTAAAATCTTCACTTCAAAGATGTCTAATGCTGGAGTCAGGGTTTGATTAAAGGCTGTCTGATCTCCCTGCCTCCTGCCGCGTCCCTGCTCACAAGGAGGCCGGCTCGGCCAGGGCACAGCTGCCAGGACTGCGGCTAGATCCCGGTCACTCCAGGCTGTGCTCCCTGCAGGCCCGGTTCCCCTCCAGACACTCCCCTCCGCAGCGTTTTTCTTCAGAAGGTGGTCAGATATTAGGAGAGCGGCGGCTGGTTGTCTTTTTTAAAGAGTCATTTGAAATTGTAGTAGAACCAATATTTGTGTCTCTCCCCCCCCCCCCCCCCCCCGGTATTTTTTCTTCTTCTGTTTTTATAGAAGCTAAGGTTTGAGAGCTCAGGATTCTCTCATTTCAACTATTCTAATCAGGAACCAAGATCAAACACACCCACTGGTAAGCATCTCATATTTGGTAGGAATGTACCCCGAAGGGCTTGGGGCCTCAGAGTGTTCGAGAGCCCAGAGTGTGGTGCTGAAACGGCGCTCTGCCTGGGCTTTAGGGCTGCAGGGGCTGGTTGAGCTGGGAGTTTGATTAGCCACTAGCACCTCAGGCAGTTGCGATGGGTGCATTTGGTGTCACTCAGACACCTGAACTCATCCTTCAGACTGGTTCTGGGCATTTAGAATACGGCCCGCTGTTCTGTGGCAGCTGTAGTTTCATGGTTTTGATATGATGGTGGCTTTGGGACGATGGGAAAGTTAAACACCCAGTGAAGTTCAGGTGGTTCCCAGAGAGCTTCCGTCTCAGTTTCCAGGGCTGAAAACAAACAGGGGGCACTGTTGAGCCTCGGCCTCCCCTGGGCTCTCAGTCATCCCCAGCCCGCCAGGCCCAGGGAGCCTGCACTGCAGTGTGAGGCGGCGGAGGGGTCTCTGTGATGAAGCTGTACAGTGGCTTTCCTTTCTGGCATTTCAATGTCCTAGGTGACTACCCTTCTGGGGTGAAGATTTCAGGCCCAAACAGCAATGTTCGGGGAAGAGGGATCACGCGCCTGCTAGAGCGCATCTCGGGCTCCTCCAGCAGCGTCCCCAGGTTCTCCAGCTGTGACACCGCGCTCTCCCCTTCCCTGTCCCCGAAGGGTGGGTACAAGTCCTTCTCCCCCCTGTCTTAATGATGGTACTCTTCAATTCTGGGAAAATAGCAGGCCCGCTTCCCTCTGATTGCAGTCCCGGACAGCAGAGCACACCCCTGGTACATGCCGCCCTCTGAAACGGCCTGCCTTGTAGAGAATCCTGTTTCGTAGATTAAAAGTAACTGTGGTTGGAGAAGATTTGGCATTTTTGCTTTTTTCTCGAGGGCTTGCTCTGCTTCCTGACTGTGTAATGGGAACGCCTTGGAAGGTTGACCTCCAAGGACAAAACTGGCCTTTTCAGAGGAGTGCTTTTGCAAATATTACATTGTGCTCATCTTCCTCCGCAATAAAGGTATTGAATGTCTGTTATGAAAGGTGTTAAAATAGTGTTGCTGTACTTCTTCCCATTATGACGTGTAGAACCTTTCTCTTGAGACCTGCTGGCTGTTTTCATTGCAAATATCTAAAAAATTTGCCTTTAATAAAAATAAAGTTTTGTTACTAAAGTCTTTGAAATATGCTGACTTTGGCAAAAGGAATCATTTAAAGGAGAAGAAGCCAAGATGGGATTATGTAATTTCCCCCAAATCACAAGGCTAGAAAGTGACCAAACGCCAGGTCCACTTGAGCATGGAGCTCTCTTCACTACCCCCATCCCCTGCCCCCCCGCCGGCACCTCAGAGTCTGTGTGCCCTGCGCATGGCTGACTCAACTGCTCACATCCTCTCAGACTTTTGCATATTTCCTGGTTAAATCAATGACTTTTTCTTTTGTAAACCTAATGTAATACTTGCATAAATGCAAAGAAAGAAGTAATAGAGCTTACGGAGAAATAGACAAATTATCATCAAGCTGAAAGATTTAAACAGTCTTTTATTGATAAGCAAACTAAAAATCAGTAAATGCCTGAAAATTTAAATTAACAAATTTGAACCAATTTGTTCACTACAGTCATTTCAAACACACATGAAATATATGTGCTTTTAAATGGTAATGTGCCAAACCATAAAACAAGACTCAATATATTTTAAGGAATTGACAAGTCATGTTCTTTTTCTATTCAGTTAATGTATAATTTAAAAATAAATTTTTAAACCCTATTTATATGGAAGTCAATGAAATAAGCCAACTTATAACAAAATGATAGTAAAAATTCTGCAAAACAATTGAATAATAAACACTATGTAACACTTTAGGAACACGAAGGGAAAACCACAGCTTTAAATAGTAATATTGGACAAAAAGCATCAAATACACATTTTAGGAAGTTAGAAAAAAATTGGAAACATATATTTCCTGCCAACTACAAAAAAACAGTTTTTAACACATTGCTGACGGATCACGAGAATTCTTCATATTACAGTGTTTTACAAAGTATGATACTTTAAAGAGATATTAGCTTGTAAGAAAATATAATAATTTCAAAATGCAATGGGTATTTAATTTTAAAGCGTGCCTTTAACATTTATGTAAAACGTTGTTTGTACTTGTTCAGTAGAAACTTACCTGGCCACTGGGTAAAAGCTAGCATTAAAACTACTGGTCCGCAGTGTGTTAAGTTAGAAAAAGAACAATAAACCCATGAAAAGTGGAAGGAAGGAGAAAATGAGGAGTAAACATCAAATAGAAAAAGAACAAAAGGGGGGTTCCACAAAGCCTAAGCTGTGAAGTAGATAAAAACTCCAATGAGAGGAAGCAAGCAAAAAGGAGAGAAGGCACAAACCATGGCCCAAGCCACTGGGTGCATGTGGGAGGCACCCTATCGATGTTTCTCCCCTCCTCCTCCCTCGCTTCCACGCTCTCTAAAAATCAACGGAAAAAGTATCCTCTGGTGAGGATTTAAAAAAAAAAAAAAATGGCACAGACTAGAACAGCTGAAATTAAAGAAGTAATTCTATGAGCATTCATACCAATAAACGTGAAACTGAACTGGAAACAAATTCCTAGGAACATAATGTGCTAGGAGTGCCTCGAGAAGAAATAGAAAGTCTGCATCTTCAGTAACAGATAAATTGAGCATTAAATTTAACCTGCGTTCAGCACTTGGTTTAACAGGTGAATTCTTCTAAACTTTCAAAGGCTATCTTTCCAATATATAAAAACTAGAGGCCCGGTGCACAAAAATTTGTGCACTCGGGGGGGGGGGGGGTCCTTCAGCCCGGCCTATGCCCTTTCCCAGTCTGGGACCCCTCGGGAGATAACGTTCTGCTGGCTTAGGCCGGCTCCCAGGTGGCAGAGGGCAGGCCCAATCCCTAGGTGCAGCCCCTGGTCGGGCTCAGAGCAGGGCTGATTGGGGAGTTGGGGCACCACCCCCTGTCATGCACAGAGCAGGGCGGATTGGGAGGTTGCGATGCCACCCTCAGTCATGCTCAGGGTAGGGCCGATTGGGGGGTTGGGGCACCGCCCCCTGTCACACTCAAGGCAGGGTCGATGGGGAGGTTGCGGCACCACCCCGTCACGCACAGAGCAGGGTCGATCAGGGGGTTGGGGACCTCCCCCCTGTCACGCACAGAGCAGGGCCCATCAGGGGGTTGGGGACCTCCCCCCTGTCACGCACAGAGCAGGGTGCATCAGGGGGTTGAGCTCCCCCCTGTCACAGAGTAGGGCCAATAGGGGAGTTGGGGCGCCGCCCCCTGTCACACACAGAGCAGGGCGGATCAGGGGTTTGGGGTGCCGCCACTGTCACACTCAGGGCAGGGCTGATGGGGAGGTTGTGGTTCTACCCCATCACACACAGAGCAGGGCCCGTGGGGTAGGGGGGTTGGGGCGCCGCCCTCTATCACCCACACAGAGCAGGGCCGATCAGGGGGTTGGGGTGCCGCCACTCTCACACTCAGGGCAGGGCCGATGGGGAGGTTATGGCTCTACCCCGTCACACACACAGCAGGGCCTGTGGGGTGGGGGGGTTGGGGCGCTGCGCCCTGTCACATACAGAGCCGCAGGGCGATCAGGAGGTTGGGGAGCTCCCCCCATCAGGCACAGAGCAGGGCCGATCAGGGGGTTGGGGAGCCTTCCCCTGTCAGGAACAGAGCAGGGCCGATAGAAAGGTTGTGGCCCCGCCCCCTGTCACACAGAGCCACAGGGCGATCAGGGGGTTTGGGCGCTGCCCCCTGTCATGCTGATCCCGGTGCCGGGAGACCTCACAGCTCCGCTGATCCCGGTGCTGGGAGGCATATTACCCTTTTACTATATAGGATAGAGGCCTGGTGCATGGGTGGGGGCTGGCTGGTTTGCCCTGAAGGGTGTCCCGGATCAGGGTGGGGGTCCCCACTGGGGTGCCTGGCCAACCTGGATGAAGGGATGATGGCTGTTTGCAGCTGGTCACACACCCTTCAGGGTGGGGGTCCCCACTGGGGTGCCTGGCCAGTCTGGGTGAGGGGCTGAGGGCTGTTTTCAGGCTGGGACTGAAGCTCCCAACTGCTCCTTTTTTTCTTTTTTCTTTTTTATTCTGAGCCAGCTTTAGCTCTGAGGCTCCAGCTCTTAGGCCTCCGCTCCTGAAAGCAGGTATCGGGTTTGTTTAGGTTCTACAATCGAAACTCTGTATCAACTCCAGGTCTGAGATCCCGGCTAGCTGAAATCTGGTTTCTGGGGTTTTGTTTAGCTTCTATTTTTGTAACTATGTTTCAAACTGCCAGATCAGAGGCCTGCAGCGGCAGGCGGGAACATTGGAGTCCTCCGTCACTGAAGCAAGCAAGCCTCATGTTAGTTTCAAGCTGCCTGGCTGCCGGCTGCCATTTTGGCTGACAGTTAATTTGCATATCGCCCTGATTAGCCAATGGGAAGGGTAGCGGTCGTACGCCAATTACCATGTTTCTCTTTTATTAGATAGGATATGTAATCAGTTGTGTCCAAACTGGATTTATTAAGGAAAGCAAGAGTGATTTAGCATTAGAAAAAGGTACAAATGTCATTTGTCACAATAGATTCAAGGAAGAAAAATGTGTTACTAGAATGGATGGAGAAAGAAGCATTTGACAACATTCCACACCCATTTGTGATAAAAACCAAACTAGAAATAGAATGAGCTCTTTTGCCTGATGAAAGGCATCTATAAAAACTCTACACAAATATTCTCCATGGGAAACTGAAAAAGCGTTTCCTTTAAAACTAGGAACAAGACAGAAAACGCCCTCTGTGGCTGCTGGCACTCAGCACTACTGGAGATCTAGCAAGGACAACATATGGAAGTAAAAAATCAAAGGCTTTGGAAGGAATAAAATTGTCACTATTCACAGATATTGTTGTCTGCACAAAAGCTCAAAAAATCTACAGGTAATAAGTAGAAACAAGATTTGGCTGTAAGATCAGTTAAAAATCAAATGCATTTCTATACATCATCAATAAATGGTTTAGAAAACAATTTTAAAAAAGAACTCAGCATTTGCAGTAGCAAAATACTTGAGGTACCAAAGAATAAATCTGATGAAAAATTTTAAAAGACCTATATGCAGAAAATCATAAAACTTAGTGAACAAACAACAAAGACCTAAATAGATTCCTATAATATTATAAAGATTTATTTAAAATAATTCAATTCTCCCTGGATCTGTAGATCAACAATTTCATTAAAATACTAAGTTTTTGTGGTACTTGACAAGCTAATTATAGAAAGGCATGAAAAAGCCAGGACAGGCTTATGGAAAGTTAATATGGTCAGGGGGTGGGACTTGCCCCCCAACATCTTCAGTTTATTATAAAGCCTATAGTGATGATTAAGGTGGGAAGAGTCTGAGTAAGGACGGACAGACTAACAAGTGGGATAATCAAAAGACCCTGCACTTATGGCCCTGTGATGCATGATGGGTGACATTTCAGACCAATGGGACTATTTAGAAAACTGTCCAATAACAACTTATAAGTCCATAAAGGGGAAGAGTTGAAATTGGACCCCTGCCCCACGTTAGTCACAAAAAGCCATTCCACTTGGTTTAAGGATTTAAATGTGAAAAGGAAGCTGCTTAAAATTTTAGAAGAATTTTGGTGTCTTGTTTTCCTTAAAGCACGGGTGGGGAATGTCTGGCCCATGGGCCGTAGAAGGCCTGCAAAATCATTTTGTCTGGCCCAGCTAAGGCAGTAGGGATGAGTTAACAGTCTGACCAAACATAACAGGCTACTTTTAAAGATAATTTAAATCCTGAGGTCGTTAGGATTTTTTGAACACCTAATAAAGAATGCACTACCAAAGAAACAACACGTGACTACGTTAATTTTATTATCTTATGTTCATTAAAAGACAAAACAAAACAACTACAGTGGGGCCTTGACTTACGAGTGTCCCAACTAACGAGTTTTTTGAGATACCAGCTGTCTGCCTATTTTTTGCATTGAGTTGACAGAGTAATTTGAGTTAACAAGCTCCTTAACAAGCTCGGTCTCCGAACGAATTAAACTCGTAAGTCAAGGCCCCACTGTATTTCAGAAGAGAAAGCAGGGGAGTTCT